GTAGGCCATTTTTGTGAGTTGGTGCCTGCCAAGGGTGGCAGCACCTTGCCTAACTCGAGATTTTCCTTTGTAATTTGATTTATTATAAAAGGTTGGGAAAGGGTTCCCGTAAATCTGTGTTGCCTTTGTTTTTCTTGTTGCCTTTAAATTATTCTAAGTGTTGAACCTCGAAACCAAACGAAAATTGGGTAAGGCTGAGGTCAAGTGGGGACTTGACTGCCGCACATCGGGCAGCATTTTCGGCGGACAGAAATTGCCGGTGTGACACTTTCCAATCACATAAAACTCCTCTTTGGCCTAAAAGGGTTTTCAATTAGCAGAAAACTCATCTCCGACAATTTCTTCGAAATCATCTTACCAACTTCAGATTTTTACTTGATTTACCAATTCAAATATACCTGATATATTTCAAGGTATATTATTGTTATTGATGAGATTATACAACCTGATTTATAATGTATAGAAACTACATACATATGGACATTTTTTAAACGAAATAATGTATATAACATATTTATCCTTAAGATATTTATTATACCATATGTTTAAATGGTTTATAATATGTATATATACCATATAGTATAGGCTTACATCTCTTTTAATATATGTATATTATTAAATAAAATTTAAGTAAAAATTTATACATGAGAGAATAAAGTACATGTTCCTATGACTGATTGGATATCTGCATGATGACTTTTGTCAAGATCAAGATGATTGGGTATTGTTTAAACCTACAATGAGTAATCAAAGTTTTATTGTCTCAAGCTATTCAAGTCTCTTCGAGAAATGACGCAACAAAGCAAATTTCTTGCTTAAGTTTGATAAAAGCAACGTTACTGTGATGTTGCTTTATAGAAGACCATCTTTGATCGATCTAACAATAATTATCTTCCCAAATGTGACCATCCCAAGTAGACGGATCTGCCTTTGTGATCTTACAATAGGAAGAAAAGGAGTTTTTGAAGTTGAAGTTGAAGGTGAATGAGAAATTGGTTGAATAAATTTTTTATTGGAGGAGTATGGCAAAATAAGAAGAATAAAAGATTTAATTAATTAAGGAGAATATTCAAGGCTGCTGTATACATTTAAACATGATTTAAAGATAAGGCTTTGTTTTCAATCTTAACTAATTAGTTACCAAATAGAATAAATACACCTTCTAAAACAGTACACAACCCTTCAAAATATTTTCTGTTTTTCTTAATATTTTTAAATAAATAATACACACACAAAAGAATTTGATCCTTTTAAGTTTCTGTCCTTCATTTTTTCTCGAAACTAAGACTGACTATAATATAAGAGAAGGAAAAAATAATGAATTTCTAGCACACCAGTATCCGTAGAAAGTAATAGGAATGCAAGAGTATATCCAACGATTAGTGGCGTTGGTCAAAAAGCCATTGCACTTTCTATACTCATACTCGCATGGAGCATGCATCCCCTGTATATTCACTTAGCATTTGACTTCTACCTATGCAAACTCTTCCAAAGGACTTTTACACTTTATACGTACCAGTAACAAGTCATCGTGCCTACAATGACAAAATAAAAGATTATATTTACGTTTAGTCATCTTGATAGATTGTTCAAATTGTGAATGCCTTGACACCTACAAAAATTAAAATTCAGTCAATGACCAATCAAATATTATCTAGGCGTCGCTCATATATTATAAGCTTGTCAAAATGGAAACAAAGAGATATGATATAAACACGTATTAGTAATAAATTTAAAAATTTACTGCTAGTATAATAATTTGGTATTAATGTCAATAACTTAATTTATAAGTAACATAGAGGAGTTAGACTATGAGAAAATTGATGCGTAAATGCCAGTGCGTTAGTAAATTAAGAACCTGGAAAGCAAAATTTGACTTGTGCATGTTCAAGATTTTAGGTGCTGGGTTTGCCAACTATCAAGCATTTTATACGTGGTATTAGTTCTTATTAACAGTGTGTGAATGAAAGTAATCGGTGGCAAGTGGCAACTCCAGATGTGGAAAAGCGTGATGTCAACCGATACGATCCTTAGCTTCCTCTTGCACTTGTTAGCATAACAAGCGCTTGTTTACCTTTTCCTTTTAGGTTTGTTTTTATCTATTAGGTTATTTAGAAGGGTAATATGGTCTTTTAACTTTTTGATTGAGAGCTTTATGCTTTTAATATAATATAGATAGATATAGTTAGATACGCGCATACATATACAGGATGATATGTAATTATTAAATACAAAATTTGTCGATATATATGAGATATCACATATATTAGCATACGAGATAGACCGAAAAAAGGATACATGTATCAATTGAGATACATACAAATGCTATTACTTAGTTTTTGGACTTCTAATATTACTTTGGGCCCAGAAGCTCACTCTTGTATTTATCTCTTTACATTAGTTAGCTAGGCGGGTCAATATAAAGTGGGCTCAGATAGGTGATCGGTATATTGTATTGAGACAACACTTTTATTTTTTACACATCAATAAATACAGAAAATCCTTTTTTTCTCTCTCCACGACCCGTATCAACCCTAGGTAGATTTTCACTGATTGACGCTC